ATAATTCACAACGAACGTCTCACGTGCTCAATAATACGTCTCTCTCTGTCCGCAGTTCAATTGCACATCATTACATTGTTGCCGTCACGTCTTGACCGTCTTATATATATAAAAGAATACCGAATCTAGTAAACGCTAGAGCATTCAGGAAGGGGCGTGAACGTTCTAGAAGTTCATGACGTGTTACTAGCGTCACGTGACTTCCGCTGTCGTAACACTGCCCCTTCCTTAGTATTGTTTGTCCCAAACAATAGCCATTTACATTAAACCAATAAACAATTGCTTAATTAAATGTACAGAATTTACAAACACAAAATTAAAATTCAACAAAGTCTCTTAATTTTACGGGACGTATCTTCTTCCGTACTGGTCTCCGTCTCGTTGGCTTCTGCTTCAAGTAGGGTTCATTTGCTTCATCAGGAAATGCCCTACCATTGGTAACAGTCACATCAGTGGCAGTAACTTCATCAAGGGCTTCACTGTGGACTGTTCAAGGCATCTATAAACTGATCCCTCAGCAACAACTTGAGGAGATCGGGTGGTGCAGTTGGGTAGGCCTTGTGTGCCATACTTTCCAAGTCCTGTGTCAGCTCTTGCAGGCTCTCCCCTTTAGCACGGACAGTCAGCTAATACCTCACACCACTGCTGAAAGGTTTAGGTGAATAATCCAAGCCTTTGACCAAAACTCCCACCCCTATACATAATAATGTGTATTATGCCAGTATATGATGCAATCAGCATTAGACTGTACTTCCCCACCAATAGGAGAGTAACATCCTTCTTGTGCAGTGATACATGGCATCACTCGGTGGGAGACAGGAAATACTCTTCACCCAATACAAGTTGTAATACAGAAAGGCACAGTCAAAAGAACCTCCTGCAAGGTGCTAAAGTGTCGCAAAGGTGGGTGGAATGTAAAGGCCACTCAACCAGACTGTCACAACTACCAGGAAAGGCCTGGTTCTTAATGTAACGGGTGGTGTGATTGCACTTCCAGTTAAATCCCCCAGCCTTACTTCCAATTAATTAATGTCATACCTATGCTGATATGCTAGTTGTGAAAAATACTGTATTATATGATTAATAATGCAACTGTTTTTTCTTACAAGATTACCGAGTTCACAGTAAACATAGACATGTACAAGCTGGGGCACATCTATATTGTAAAACTGTAATATTTCAAGTTCTTTTCTTCAGAATATCAACTTTTTTCCCACTAATGATTATATTGTAACAGATATTTATTTTTGTAATAGCATTATTATGATAACCATCTATGTTTCACTTTTCCAATAATCTGTTTCTTTAGGTGCAAGCTTACAACAGAAGCTTCTTCATGTAGATTTTTGAAAAGCAAGCACTGTGCTTTCCATTGCTGTAAAGATGAACTTAATCAATTTGGTAATGTTATGTTTACTTATCATTACTAATAATATTCTTATTTCTCTTAATAATGACTGGTCTACTTGCACAAGCATTTCTCTGATAGGATAAACTATGTTAACTGTTCAGTGTCTTTGTTACCAAGTTAAATGATTTTATTGTTTCTTGCAATACAGGATCGGACTATCTTCCACTACAAATAACTTTATATTCTGATCAAAATCCTCCCCAACTGCATTTGTAAGCTTTAATAAAACTGTTTCACAATACTTTAAATAACAGTCATCCTCCCATTATGTTTACAAATCTCAATGAGATTTACATTTATCAGTACCTTGATAGTTTTTCCTTTTCATTTCATAAAAGCTATAAAGATTTATGTACCTCTAAGGTTGGTGAATGACAGCTGATTTTAAAAGCTTAAATTCTGAAATGCATGCTTATAAAACCTTTATTACTACTAGAGATCAAACTATTGTATTTCTAAAAGAAATATTTCAAACAATATAGTAAAACATCTCACTCAAGAGTAACAATGTATTAATAACACCATTTTGTGTAACATTCTACATCATGAGTCTGATTCTTTCAGAATGCCAAGTTCTTCTAAATTCAAGAGGTAATACTGATATTCTTAAAACCTTGAGTACCAAATAAACTTCTCATTGTAAAATTAAAACCAGGACTGATTATCAAACAACCTTCACTTGAAATTTTTATCTTGTATCTTTTCTTTAAACACTCAACTTTTCTTACTATTAATTCTTCATCCTTTTTTCTATTGTAACAGCTTATCCACATTCATGGAAATGTTATTATCTTATCAAAAAAAAGAATGTAAACCCACTAAAAGGTATGATGTTGATCAATTAGTCTTATTAGTTGTACAGACAAACTTCCTGTTTTAATTTCAGCAGTGACTTCTTTCCTTGGGAAGAATAACACCCAAAATGGAACAGCAGAACATTAAAAGTCCGATAATTTGATTAGACCCCAAAAAATGTTACATAAGATTGAATAATAATTCTACACCTTTTTAGACATTTAGAAATCATAGGATTTAGTACTCTATGCTGGTTTAACATATAAAATTCACTCTTGACTCCTCGGATACTTGCTTAGGTTGTTAAATTTTCCAAATGATTGTACTATTAAAGTTAATATTCATTCAGTGGTTTGAAGTTCTTTCTGTCCTGCTATATGAAGCTCCTCATCTGACCTCTTTCACATTGCAGCTTAAGTTCAGACCAAATTAAATTACCTTACCTCTTGGTATACTAAATTGTATGTCATCTTTAACTGGTCAGAAATACATTATTGTCTTCCAATTTAAGTTCATGAAAAAAACTGAAAAATAGGTTTATAAAATTACTCTCTGCTTAACTGGTGTTTCTCAGACTTTCATTACAAAAATTAAATTTCTGGATTTATTTTTAATAAGAAGTTAAACTGAAAAAAAGTCATATTTTCTCACTCTGTTTTAGGAAGTTTTAATCAGTTAGTTTTGTGTTGCTATGGGCAGAAAAAACTTAAGGGTTCTACCATTTCCATCATAGTTAATTGCTCTATGAGTATGGTTGTAGATCCATAATGTCACAAATTAACTTTCTAAACTTCATAGAATACAAAATAAAGTTATTTATATTGCTACTCATCTGTGTTTACACACTTGTTGGTTACTTACATCAGGCTAATAAGTTACCTCTGGCTCCAGACAGACAAGCTCTTTCAACTTATTAAATATAATTTCAAATAACCAACCAGCAGGAATGCATTCACTAGCTACTATATTGTCAATACTTTCTTCCAACAGTTATGGTTAAAAATGTATGTGTGTCAATGAATATTTTCTTTTAAATGTACTATAAACAATAGTGTCAGTGACTGTTATGATTACAAAACTATTTCCTGTAAATGCTATACCTAAGGTGTCGACCTGCTTGGATTTTGATAATTTTGGAATATGCTTCATGTTAGAATGAATACATCTACTTTACTTTATTACCTTCTGCTTCTTCACTTCATACAACTATTTTCATTTCATCTACCTTATCTTCATATTTAATATTTGTTATTAACAGTAAATTACCTTTCAATTTACAAAACAACAGACATTACATACTGTATCACTTTCATCATGCAAACAAATCTTTTTATGACTAGTGTTAGTATGTCAGCTGTAAGTTCAGTTCTGCTTACATTACAAATATATGTTTCTATCAAATTATTTTTATTACACTTTGACTGAATAAATCAGAGTCAAGAACTGGAAAAATATATATATATATAAAAATTATACATCTTGTCTATAATTAGTTTACATATCTATATACCTTCTCCTTAACAATTACTCAGTTGCATCAATTTTTTAAGTGCAAAGTTTTAGCCACTATTTATAAAAACATGTAGATCACTAAATTAAAAAATATTTCAACAGTGTACTCTTTTAAAAAAATATTTAAAGTGATTCAAAAATGCACCACCTAATGTGTAATGTTTTTTAGATTAATCTTTTTTTTTACAAGTATTTAAAGCATTACTTATTAGAACACTGAAAATTTTTGATACATCTTATTCTATTTTCAATTTTGAAACCTTAGAAGGAAGATAGATCTTTAAACACTCACACAGAATATAAATAAACATATTTCACTATACAAAGGTCCTACAATGTTATTACTGTCATATATAACTGAAGATGCAATAGCTTTATAATGTCACAAACTGAGGCCCCTTAATTTTTTCACATTTATAATTGAGGAAGATATAACAAGCACACCAAATGAATTCAAAAAAATCCAATACAAGATATTCATTATCTATACAACACTTTGACTGTATTACAAATAGGGTGCACTGTTTAGGATATAAAAAAGGTTAGGTGGCCTTTCTTAGACACAGAGCAGACACATGTGCAAATGAAGTTGGGAATAGTAATTCTTTTGGACCAAACTACACCTCACAGAATGACCTTCCTCTAGCCACTTTTTATTTATATTAAATCACACAAGGCAAAAAAAAAAAAATGAATTAGCATGCACACCCGTCTGATTTTGGATTTTGATCATTTGTCAGCTTTATTTGATCTGGAAATTCATTGTATAGCTCCACTTCTGTTTCTTGAGCCAAAGCATTCTTTGCAACAGTCTGAAATGCTTGTTCCACATTGATAGCTTCTTTGGCACTTGTCTCAAAATATGGTATGTTGTTCTTACTTTGACACCAGCCTTGAGCTCGTTTAGTGGACACCTAGAGGTAATATTGATTAAACATAAACACCTTATAATTGTTTAGAAAAGCAGATTTTATCAAAAGTTTTAAAATGACACATTCTTGATATATATAATTTCAAATGTCCTGCTTTCGTATCAAATTTTAAAAGTGACTACTTATGAAATGAAAACCTTTTTATATTTTACAAGTATTTCCTGAATTCTGGAATGTTGTAAATATAAAGGTTAGTTGGTATACTGTCCACAATTAAACTAATTCTAAAATAAGTTCATAGTACTTAAGCTGCCAAATTGTTAATCAACACAATATTCAAAAATATTTATACTGTTATTTTGTTCTTCCCAATATATTTATACTAACAGAAACCCACAAAACATTTACAGTCAAATTAGTATCTTTATTGCAACAGTACTTCTTTCAATACAGGATTCCTAGAATAATACAAAAGAATTCTAGTCACAGACACCAAAATCTATAAATCCACTTGTCTTAGGCCTAACATTAGTTAAGCCTTTATTAAGTATGGCCCACATTCGATAAACAGATAAATTAACATTGTAGCTTGTGTACGTTTTTTGCTTTAGTTTACTTAGGGCTAAACTTTACTGTACTTAATACTATCAATAAATAAACTTGTAATGCTGTTCTACAACCTAACACTAGACCTTTCTTAAAACTTTGATAAGCTTTTAACATGTTGCTGTACAAAATGTCTACTAAAGTATACTTACAACTGCCTTTTGTTTACATCCACTGAAATGTAGTGTGCATGCATGCACATTTAGATAGTATAGTGCACATGCATTTTTAGGACAGACAAAAACTGAGTATTATTATAATAGATATTATATAAATAACAAAGAGGAATAAGAAGCCTCAAAATAATACTTAATACCAGACATGTAAAATAATCTCACACATAACCTTTAGGTGAGCTTGCTGGAATTTTGTTTCACTCATTTTAATGTTATATCACATATAAACAGTATTCTATCTTTCACTGAAAGTTTTGACATACCAAAATTTGAAACAGTCTTATCAGTATGCTGCTTATAACAATAAACTATTTATGACTCATATTACTTTAAATCATAAATGTGTTTATAATGCAAGTGTTACCTAATGACTCTCTGGTTCAATAATCAATCTTATAGGTATGTTTCATATTAAGAGCAATATTTCTAGCCTACCAAATCTTTTAAACCCATCTTATTTTCAATGATTAAAACAACATGTTTTCAATAAATTATCAGTCTGTTTCCTATATTAACTTGCTCTTAATGATCTAGACTATCTTTTTTTTTTTCTTTACCAATCTGTTTTCCAGATCTATTTTATTTCCAATTACTACAAATGGGAAATTTTCAGGGTCTCTGGGTGATGCTTGAATGAGAAATTCATCCCTCCAGGAGTCCAAAGACTTGAAAGAATTTGGAGCCATGACATCAAACACAAGAACACAACAGTCAGCTCCTCTGTAGAATGCTACACCCAGAGACTGGAACCGTTCTTGACCAGCTGTATCCCAGATCTTGTGATAAAAACAAAACATTTTTAAAATTAGATATTGCATTGACCCTCAAGTCCTTCAAGTAGATGTTTTCATAAGATAATAATAAAATAAATAAAATTAGTATAACATAAAATATCAGCTAATCAAATACATTATTTAATGGACCAAAGCAAGGGAAACTAATACATTTCAATTACTTATTAAACATTCCATATACAATTCAATCAGAAAACATATAAACTTCACAACTCGTGACATCTTCAGCCATCACTGCTCACTGTTCCTATTACAGATTATCAAAAGGACCTTACAGTAGTATTGTCACAAATGATTAAGCTAAACAACAATAAAGCTTATTAATGGCACATTTCAGATTGTTGCAATGTTATGGCTTGGAATATTTTAGTTGGATTGATATTGGCTGATCAGCTGGTTAGATAAAATATCCAAAGCAAATCAATACTTGTAAGTTCAAATGTTAAAAGTATGGATGGAATATAAATTAGCACAAAATTATGGTCATTATATTGTAGCAATGTTTATGTTGTTGCTTGCTACTTATCTACAATATAAACAAAAAAATTGTCAGCTCATAAAATGCATGATCAATTTTCCTAATAGTACATTTTGATACATGACTAAGCTGGATCTAAGTTCTTATACTAATTTCTCAATAACACTGATGTGGGAAAACTAGGTTAGATATGCTAACAGTTTCTGGAAAACAATTAGAGAGGCTTGTCAAGTAGCCGATTCCAACAACGTGATCAAAGAGCATATTTTATTTATGATCAATGTTGGATTTTTCAAAATGGCAGTGTGTGGGGTCAAAAGTTGATTGACAGCACGTTATGCTACATGGGACTGAAAATGCTTCGACTGATGGTACTTGTATTTTCTATAGTTATATCTGAAAATTAATTTAAGATTATATGAAAAAAAAAGTCACTGAATGTTTAAAACCTTAATAAATGTTAAAATGGGCTAGCACAACTGTGATATTCAGGTACATTAATATCCAATAGGTAAGTATCAAGTTTCTGCAATAAACAGCTAATACAAGGATAAGATAAGCAGAGAATAAATCAAACAGGACTACTAATGGTGTCCTCCAACAAGTATAGCTGTCATTACCTATACAGTTTGCTAATATCCAAACATTCTCTCTCACCAGCTGGTAAGATAACCTGTCTGATTTGCCATGCAACTGACTTGGGCAGTATTTTATGATGGGGATGTACTTATGCAGGGTCATTATACAAACTTTAAAATTTTTGAAGTTCATTAGTCACTTCAGTGATGCATGGTCCATTTGAATAATGAGCTCCCTACAAAAAAAAAAAGTAATGTTTGAAAAATATTATAACACAGAAAAATGGCAATGTTCTTAGTACTTCAAACACCATGGTTATTTTAATGAAAATGCTTTAACTGTTCCTATATGATAATTAAGTGATCATTGTTTCTCATAAATGACCATCTGATCCCCAAAAATACATCAGCCATCTCCTTGAACAATTTGCCAAGTTCATGTCTTTGTGTTGAGTTTGAATTGTAATTACAATTATCGACTAACCTTCAGAAATTCAAGAATCTGTATATTCACACTTGGACAAGGTGTAATGGTTGTGTCTCTAGCTACATTGCCACTCTGCACTACCTCAGCTTTTATTACCTACCAAGTGGTAATTACAGCTGGAAGTTGAATAACAATAACAATTGAATAAAAATTACAGGTTAGCACTGGTAAGATGCCAACACATATACAGCTAACATTCCAGACAGACAACAGTGAGGTTCTGTTACCGCAACAAGTGGTGACTTTGCACTAGACTACAACCATAAAACATCACAGAATACTACTTCACATTTGGCACTATCACTACGTACTGCAGTCCACTGTTCTCAGGCCTAACCTGGTCAGTACTTTATGGTTTTCTGCAAAGCTGCAGTTAACTGTAGCATAAATGAAACCGTGATAATTTCCACAATACGTTTATCTTTGAGATATCAATCCATAAACCAAAATTGTAGACAACTACCTTCATTTGGCAAGTGACATTCCTAAGACAATATCTGAGACATACTTTTATATTCACAATTAGCTTGCCACCAAGAAATTTGTACTAACTGATAGATAACTTCACTTACAGTCCCTGGTCAATGGTAATATATAATAAATAATAATTGTTGTTAAAATTAAATAATGTTGTGTTGTTAACTTTTACCCTAAAATATCTGATTTCTAAAAGACTTAAATAAAATTGATAATAATTACAATTCACTTGCTTAATCTGGTTCACACCATAAAAGTTGTTCAGGTAAATCAGTGATATACAAGTAAAGAAAAAAACGTTTTTAAAAAAAGAAATAAATGAAGGGATGGTTAATATCAATCCTTCAAAAACAATTCAAACAAGATAGTAGAGTTGGCATTTCCATCATTCCTACATAACAGCACAGGCACAGAGCATAGTAGAATGTTAACATACAAAAATAGGATAAATTAAACTCAATTGTGATTGAATAGTTATTGATGTTGCTATATGTTAATTCTTGCCTGTGCTGTTATGTAGGGATGATGCAAGTACCATCCTTACTATCTTGTTTGCATTTTTTCTTTGAAATACTGATATTAGCCATCCCTACATTTACTTCCCGTTTTGAATAGTTTTTTTTTACTTGTTTGCTTATTCTTTTTATTGCAGTGCCTTAATACACATAGGAATGTTATAATTACAATGAGGTTTCCACTGTAATATTTATTGTTTATCTATTATTGGCTCGTAATTTCTGCTTCATCCTGTACTTAAGCTTTTTAAAGGAACCCCAAATTTCTGTAAGAACACTAACTTCAAGGGGTAATGATAACATTGTTTACACTAGAATTATGAATTTTTGTAATTACTACTAGTTAATAATACTTATAAAAGTGGATATTCTGTTTGAAACTGTCACCTCAGTGAAATTGGTATAAAAGTGGATTATATGTTGGATTACTATTGCTGTTACATAAGCTAAGCTTTATGAAAATACTGGGTGGGGGGAGGGAAATAATTAAAGAGGGGCATTAATTAAGGGCAATATGCTATTCTTCTTTACTTTCACTTATGGTTTTTTAGAATTCCCTCATAAACAGACATGGCAGCTACAGTAAGAGAGAGAAAATCCTTCTTTTGAACTCTTGACACCTTTGGGAATTCAAATCTTGCTTGATGGTGATCCAGCTTTATCAACTGAGCCTTACAAGCCCTGTTCATTTGGAATCGTGGTGGCTGCATTATGATATCTGTTGCAATGGGGCAGTCAGTTGACGTTCTGATTGAGCCTTGGGGCCATCACAAACCTTAAAGGATATTTTGAAATAGCTTGCTGCTGCAATACTACTGCTGTTGGCTTAATTTCTGCTTCAGCATACAGTTTTATATGCTTATTTTGAGCCATGTTTCCACAGAAACCCTCTCCATTAGAGAAGGTCCTACATGGATTTGCTCAGCAGTTCTAATTGAACTTATTGATGAGAATCTCATTGTAATCAGTAAGATATTCAGAAACACCTTCCTACACATACTCCTTAGAGTATTTGCATAAGCAACATATTTTATGGGCCCAAGCCTCTGAAACTCGACCCTAAGGATTTCAGTCCTCCAGTGTTGAATCTATGGTAAATTCAGTAACAAGAACATACCATTTGTCCTGTTGCTATTAATCCAAATGCTCTAAGACACTGAGCACAGGACCACATAGACTAAGAATTAGATGTTGTGCTGTCTATACATTCCATATAGCAATTTTTTCCTTGACCATGTTAACCTGCTTCGTATCATCACCATCATGGAACAATGGTGCAGACAAGTACCTGCTATCAATGTCTCCATTATAGTCTTAACACAACAGGTTCAAGGGAAGCCTTCCACATCCTCCACAAGTCTAAGATCATACATCCTTACAAATGTGGTGTCATTAGCACAATGCTGAATTGTGTAAGAATACTCCTCTGTATTTCCTTCTACGAGTATTATCAGAGTGCATAATTCGACAAAAAAGCTTCTGACTGATTCAAAGTTTCTTTAGGATCACTGGTTGTTTCACCTGACCACTGCTTGAGCTAGTCAAAGAGCATCATGGAGTCTCAGAGACTACCCCATTTGACCATGGGATGTCCACTTTATTATCAGTGACAATAATTCATCCTTTTTGCCCTAAGCTCTTGCATACAGGATATAATCAGTAGAGGTCAAATTACAGCAACCAGTGTTTTGCTAGCCATCTTTTAATCTCTCAATTCCAAGAATGGATTGATAATGTAGCCATAACTCTCATCATGGCTAGAAAACTTCATCCAGAAGAGCCTCTCCTAAATCTTTTTGCATGCTCAGATTGCATCCTCACCCCATCTGCAGCTTCTTCCTCTTCAACACAAGTTTTACAGGTTCTTAAATAATGCTCTTCGTTGATAAAAAGCAGTAAAAAAGCATATTCAAACTAAACTCCGGAATAACAAGTTATTGGTTATGACAACAAATTTTGTAACTTATCTTTATGATATTCAATATGGAAGTATCTACAATATACAGTAGATGCTAGTTAAGAATAAATCAAACATGAACAACAAGGTGAATGAATAAGCATAAATCTTTATTCATATAACAAAACATATTGCTGGGGATTTTCCTTAGACTGGACAGCTTCTACACTTGGAATTATGAACTTATTTCTGGCTGATAAAGAAATTCAGAAACACATCTACAGGAGTTAAAGACCAGAGCAAGTATAATGATCATGACACACTATTAAATCAGGAAAAGTTCCTAGACCATTATTCCACAATTATAGATTACCTACATGTGCAACAACACTAATGTTCACTATACATTTTAGAGGGAGTAAATGTCTAGCCACCCCTCAAAATGAGTATAGCCCACAATACAAAGAAACATAGCCAAGCATGAATGAACCTTTAGAGAGTAAATATTGTAATATGTAACTTTTGTCTAAGAAAATCAGTTAATAAGGATGCCAACTAACCACGTGCCAAACACTTTCATGAAAATCTAGAAAGTTTTACAAGAATATATCTGACTCACTGAGCAGTATATTAAGTATGACACTGAAAATGATGTGAACAGCTTATATTGAATAGCTCAGCTGCTTGAAAAGCCTTATCTACATTTAATGTTTATACAACTTGATTGATAACAAAGAATTCTCACCCTCCATTCTATACACAGAAACTAGTTATCAGTATTATTCCATGAGACATGACACCAGGCAGTCCAGAACACATCTAGTGCTATGATTTAAAAATTTTTAAGCAAATACAAAATAATTTTCAGACATGCTACTATCCTAATTTTATTTTATGTTCTAGACAAAAATACCAGACCCATATTTATTTTTAAGTATTACTAGACTTCCAATGCTTTTGTTGTGGACATATGTGCAAAAATTCCATGGTTAACAGCAGTGACTTAATGCAATGTGACATTACTGTAATTTAGTAATATATGTACAGTATTTCATTGTTTGTGTATTTCTTACTGACCTTAGTGCCCCTGTAAAGAGTTGTAACTAAGGCCAAACTGGGATTATCTCTATAATGTTAACTTTCTAAACATGTAATCTATATACTATTTTAAAAGCCCATGTAATTAAATCATATTCTTTGCAGTCAAGAAAAAACTTTACATAGTAAAAGACAGTGTAGTACTTCTGTCCAATTACTACATACTACAAGTCCACATATGAAATAAAATAGTTATTTATAAACTAAAACAATAGAAACAATATTATCATTGTGACTAACATACTTGCATAGTGACCAATCTGTCATCTACCATAACTTCTTTTGTAAGAAAATCTGCTCCAATTGTGGCTTTATACTGGTTGCTGAACTTCTTAATAACATACTGGTTCATTAGTGATGTTTTTCCAACACTGCCAGGTAAAATATTATTACATTAGGAATTTTATATATACATATATATACAGCAAAGTAACAGTAACAACAGTTATTTCAAAAATTCTCAGGTGTGTGTATGATGACATACATGTACTGATAACATACTGTATCACTTGTTCTGTGAAAGTGACAAGTCATTTGGTCATTACATGTAATGTCTTTTTTGATTATCAAATTTGATTATCTTCATGATTTACTGATAAAAAGAAGTATTTAAAATGAATTGGTTTTATTTAGTTTAGTATTATGAGTATTTGGTTTATAACAATTACAAGACACTAATAAAAATATTTATACACAGCCTCCACACTTACTAGCAATCAACCAAGTTTCCACTCACAACTCATGCCTTCAGACAGTGACCACACTAAAGGTTGCAGTGCACAATTAACTTCCACTACTAACTACTGGAATAAAGTGATATATTTCACAGCATTGTAACATATACAACACACTCCCAAATGTCAGGTATAAGTTACCAAGCAATGATGAATTATGTGACATTGATTTAGTAAACTAACATACATGTATATCTGAGCACTTATTTCTTTCTATATATAACCTATTGTACTATTTTTTAAAGGAGAAAAGAAAACCTATGGTTTCACTGAAAGAATTATCTTTACTATAACACCACAAATAAAAAAATCCTTACCTATATAAATACCACTATATCACTAAACATTAACTACCTTGAATTTTTTGAACAGGTACAAACTCCTCTATCACCTTATAATAGTCATGCATAAAGTAAGCGTATACATAAGTTACAGAAAGATAACTGTTATAGTTAGTGATGTAGATGGATTTTGATTAATAAGTTTAAAAAATCAACAGAAAACAAAAAATTTACAAAAGGCAGCATTCAATGTTATATAATTAATAATCTTTAATAAATATAAATATACAGTATATATGCTGGAGATTTCCTAAGGTTTAGTGAGCTTCCTAAGCTGTTTCAAAACAGTTATTCTTAACATATCTAAAAGCAACTTTTGATGGCATTTAAGTTCTAAATACCTTTCATCAAAACTGAAAGATATAAAAGTAACAGACTGATTCTTAGCTACTGTTGATCATATATAAATACCATTCACAAAAGTTGACTACACAGACAAGCTGTTTCACAATTTCCCTCTTTTAATTTGTCGACTCAATACTACTGCATTTTTAACTTGTTCCAATCCTTATTAACAAAAACAAGTAAATGTGCTGATAATAAGAGTAAAAGGGTTATAGTGGGTGAAGCACAGGATATTAATTCTGCATTATAAAGCAAAAATTGCCTCCCATAATGTTACACATAATAATTATACCTGTTTAATAAGTACCTGAGAAACCCGTGTTGTTCAGTAACTTTTATAACCTTTATCTGGTGGTACCTCAATAACAGATTTGTAATAAAAACAATTATGCTTAATTTTATTTTGTGTTAAAAATGTCAGCTTGGCTTTCTTTTACAAACTAGTGTGGAGTATCCAATTGGAAGTTTATACCATTTTAAGGTGTCACAATACTATGCAAAAACAAATGTGTAACTGGTTAAAAAAACAAAAGTAGTTGACTTTCCATCTGAAGTTAACCCATGCACCATAGTCCTGATGACTAAATAAATATTGACTGGTTTTATCCATTCTAGCCATTTAAAATTTTGTTGTCATTTGAAAAAGTCTTTCTTCGCTCTTACAAGTTAATTTTTTATATAGTGTCCACTGCTTCATCCACGACATTTTGTTCACTATAACATGTTTGGATACCTGAATATGATACAAGTTAAACAAAATGTCGACTCATTTTGTGAAAAGAAGAAATATAATAAATGTTTTTTCATTCATTGTTTATGGGGCTATAGTTTCTTTAAGATTCTTCATCCAAACATTGGTAGTTACTATCTCACATTTAGTTAAAAATACAATTTTCTAGCATCCTGAAACAGATTTTTACTGCTCAAAGTTATATTAAAACAAATATTTCACTCTGTGTATACTTCTTATTAAATGTCAAATTTAGCAAAGTTTTACTGAAAAGTTTTATCTTAACAGTAAGACAAGATTGTAGGTTTTTCTGTTCTTGTGAATTATGAGCAAGGTTAATTAAAAAATAAAATAATTGGTGTTAAAACAATAAAATAATAATAATATGGTATTATTTTACAATAATTCTCATTTGTATATGATCCATATAAAATTAATACCAAATTACACTTTACCAGTTTGATCTAGTTTATACCATAAAAGTTGTTGTTCATATAATTTGATAATGTAGCATCTCAACCATTACTGTTTTTGTGGTATTCCAGTCAGTTTGATGAGCCCTGATATTGGGTGAAAGGCTTCATCGGCAATGGATATAGCATATATAGACTGGTTGACAGTGTTATACATTCTTCTTTGGTTTCACTATTGAAGTCTTTAAAATTATTATAAACTGTTGCAAGATCTTAAAAGTTTATTTTAATATATTCATAAATCACATACATATATTTTACTCATTCTTCTTTCCAACATATGAATGTTGTTTACTAAACAAAAAATTTAACTTTGTTTTACTTTTTGAACATAATTTTTCAAGTACTTAATATTCAAAAATTGTTCAATTTCCAATCATGAAGTTACTTTTAATAATTATCAGTATGTGATAATCTGTAAGTATATACTGTGCTGTTGTAAGCCCATACTTAAAGAATTAATACTGCTGAAAAACTGTGAAAAAATGTATGGTATATTGTTAAGATTAGAGATATTAACTGAATGTGTATATTAATAGTTCAATGGTTAATTAATGCAGTAACATTTTACTGATACAGTTGTCTTAAAGTTAAGTAGAGTGAAACATTTGTAGAGGCATTAATATTATCATTCCTGTCTATTACACTCAAGGACCTGAGTAAAACAACCTTGCTGGGCCCTCCCTTCTCTCTGTTTTTTAATATTTTTAAGAACTTTTAAAAAAGAAGATCCTAAATTAGGACAGCAATGAGCTCATAAACAAGGCAAAATCATAGCAGCAGCCGTTTTTACCTCACAGTATAGGCATAAAAAACATGCTTTACGGTATAACCAGGCTCAGG